AAGTTAACAACATAAAACGATAACATCAACTGTCTAAACATATACTAATTGTTAGTGTATTGCTTTTAATATATATTTTCATATCTAAAAAAAGTAACTTAAATATGTACACTTCACCTGGCCTATTTAGATGGGTCCAACTTTGGTTTTATTATTCCGTTTTTCTTTTTTGTTTTTTAATTTAATTCCTGTTTGATATCTATTCTATTGGTTATACCAATCACACTCCATCAGTCATCATCGATTCCTTTGGCACCGAAAATCAAGAGTTCCGGTGAACATGTTGCCACGCTTTCACTAAATAACGTCCTCCCATTTAATGTATCTTTAGTTGTAATTGTTCCTATTTTCGTGGGAAATGATGGATACAAGAATAATAGAATAAAAAAGTGAAGGAGTTTTATAATTTAAAGGAACTCTTTTAGTCTTTAGTATTTACGATAAACCTCTAGACGTTAACTTATAAGTCATAGAATAAAAAGACTTATAAGGTTGGAGGGAGTGGTGCCGCGCTTCCTCATGAAACCGCAGTACACGTAGGCGCAATGGCGGACGCAGAAGGTTTTAGTAGGGGTGACACTAAAAAAAATTTCCGAAAAAATCTAAATTAGTAGTGACACTTGTATTTTAAGCCGGTGCACCTAATAGAAAAAACATAAAAAACATAAAATAAAAAAAAAATTTACACTACGTGCCGGAATCGGAGCAGTGGCCCGGGACCCTCCGGGCACCACTAAGGTCCGCCACTGCGTAGGCGCCACCTCACTCATTACCACAAAAGTGTGGTCTCATACTACACCCAAGGAGTGGTGCCACACTCCTTTAAATTATTTTTATTTTTTAAATAAATAAAATTTTTAGTTTTAAATAAAAACAAAATATTTCATTAATTAAAATTAAAAACCATTACATTACTTAAAAAAACCTAGGAAATTAGAAATTAAAAAACTAAATAGCTTAAACGTACAATTTAAAAATAAAGTAAATAAAAAAAAACACATCAAATAATTAAAACTTGGAAAACAACTAAAAATTAACCACGATTAGCGTAACGTTTTTTCACGTCTTCCTTCATTTGCAAAACGACTTGAAGCGCATCCCCGGTCAAATTTGACGTGTCCATCGATAGCACTTTCAGGTCACTGTCCCTTTGTTTCCGACTCTCTCTATTCGAAGCAAGTTGCAAAAATTAAATTTTTCGTTGATCGAGTGAAGGTCTTGGGGTTGTGGGTTTTCTGGTGGGTGTTTTTTCGTTGGTTGGATTTTTGGAGGATGACATTTTTCGTGGGTTTGAAAAGAAAGAAGATGGTAAAATGTTGAAGATGGTAGAATGTAGATGAGTTTTTTTTGTTAGTGTATAAAGTATTTATAGTAGTGGTTAAAAAAATTAAAATTTTGAAATTTGACCGTTTGCAACGGTCAATTGTGACCAACCAATCAAAATCATCCATAGAGCGCACCCTCCAAAAGCCGCAGTGCACCCTAGGGAGCACCCGGGGGGCGGTGTTCAATGCTTATGTGGCAGAGGGAGTGCGGTCCAGACCGCACCACTCCCTCCAGTCTAAAACGAATCTAAGATCATAAATTTGTTATGACAAACAATGAAACTTATATGTCAAATATATACAACTAGGGCTTTGCGGAAATAAAACTATGGGGTGTTTGGGATTATTTTTGAACATCAAAAGTCCTTTTTGTAGAAAGATTTTTGTAAAATGACTTTTTGCAAAAGAAGTTTTTAAAAATATGTTTGGATTAATAAAATGACTTGGTTTAACTTTTACATGTAAAACAATAAAAAGTCACAAAAAGTCAGGTTTTTGTGACTTTTAGAAACCCCTCCTTTTTTTCTATACCAAAAGTCATTTTCAAAAGAACCTTTGAATTATCCAAACATCACCACCACCAGCCTATCACCACTACCCACCACCACCAGCTCATCACCACCACCCGCCACCACCACCACTACCCCCACCACGAACCACCACCACCCACCTCCACCACCTATCATCCATCACCCACCTCCACCACCCGTCACCACCACCCACCACAAGCACTACCACCCGCCACCTCCATCAACCACCACCATCCACATATGGTTTATATGCATCTAATCACATGATTTACATGGACAAGATTCGTTTTTTCTAAATAAAATCATATGTGATTAGATACATATAATCACATATGATTAAATGTATTTAATCACATATGATTAAAGTGGACACATAACAATTATTGAATCGAGAACGTGAAAATGAATATTGTCCACATACATCATATGTGATTGGATACATATTATCACATGTGATTATATGTATTTAATCACATATATATTATATGAAGTATATTTATTTTCGTGTTTTTGATTCAATAATTGGTTTCATATATTTAATCACATATGATTTTTATTATATTAGGCAATGCATTTACATTTTATTATATTTATCTAATCACATATGATTTATATAGACAAGATTCTTTTTTGTCCATATACATCATATGTGATTAGATACATATAATCACAAATGATTTTATGTATTTAATTAAATATGATTTATGTGGACAATATTTATTTTCATGGTGTCAATTCAATAATTGGTCCCGTGTATTTAACCATATGTGATTATATGTATTTAATCACATATTATTTATGTTGACAAGATTTTTTTTCGCATCCTTGATTCAATGGTTGTTCTCGTGTATATAATCACATGTGATTATATGTATCTAATCACATATGATTTATATAGACAAGATTCATTTTTACAAATAAAATCATATGTGATTAGATACATATAATTGCATGTGATTAAACGTATTTTATCATATATGATTCAATCACTACAAGAAAAACAGCCTTTTACGACACGCAATGCGTGTCGTAAAATGCTCAGACGACACGCAAATGCGTGTCAAGGAAGGCCCTGTCATAATGAAAGACGACACGCTTTTGTGCGTTGTCTATTTACGACACACATTTACGACGCGCAGTTACGATACTCATTTACGACGCTCATTTATGACACGCAATGCGTATCAAGGAAGGCCCTGTCATAAAGGAAGACGACACGCATTTGCGTGTCGTAACCTTACGACGCGTATTTATGACACGCATTGCGTATCATTAAAGCCCATGTCATAAATGAAGATGACACGCATTTGTGTGTCATAAACTTCAGCAGCCATTTACGGTATACATTTACGACGTGCCTTTACGATATTTATTTACACATAATACAAATTAAATTTGCATTTAATGTCTCATAATAGAAAATAAAATACCATACACAAAAAATACAATCCATTGCACAAAAGTTAATGTCATACAAATAAACGTTCCAATAGTAGACAAATGTAATACATCAAATGTGAAAGAGATGAAAGTCATCAACAAATAATAGGCGAACTACAAGAACTCGTTGCCCACCTTCAAAACATCCGAGCTACTTTACTTGACAATACGCACATCAGCAAGACCTGCAAATTTGAATAATGCAACCATTAGATTCACATAAACCAACAAATCCAAAGATGTAAGTAGTCATGGAAGCTGCATTGTATGGCAATATTTTATCAGGGATTGTGAATAAATCTTCATAATACATATCCAAGATGTTAGCCAAGCATACCTGAAAATAAAACTAAGTTATATCTTGCATATGTCTTGATGTATACGAGATGTAAGGGCTGAAATAGACATTAACATAACTTCACAAAAACAGACATTAAGTCTCATTGACTTACATGTTTGATGTTACATAACATACTCCAAAAAAGGCAATGTACTTTAGAAATCTAGAATATATTCCAATAACAATCTGTTATTGGTCATTTTTTCAATATTTACATGAATTTTTAAATGACATCCACCAATAATCAGTAGCAATGGGCTTCTAAGGGAAAGAGGTCATATTTAAAAAAAAAAAAAAACTGATTAGTCACATTTAACAACAACGAACCAAAATTGCAACAAAATAAAACCATAAGGGCCACCATTAAAGTAAAACAAGAATTTGAGTGAACCTAGATGTTGGTGTACCCTGGAAAACCCTTTACCTATATGTTCATAATCCATTCCTACAACACAAAAAATAATGTATCATATTTATTTCAATTGCCCAAAATCAAGAAATCTTCAATAAAGTTGATGTTTTTGAACTTGAACCTGTTGATACTCAAATCACCGGTTAATATAAATAAAAAATTAAAAAGAAAAAAATAGAGAGCAAACAAACCTGAGTACAACCTTATTTCTTTTTGCAACAACAATGAAATATGGTAAGAGGTTTCCCTCATTGTCTGTCAAGCCAAAGTACTTTTAAGGGCTGAAATAGACATTAAGTCAAAGACAATAATCTCCCCAACCACATCTATCATCCTGAAATCATACAAGTAAAGTGAAAGGTTAAACGAAAATGCTATAAATAGCAACATCATTTTGCTACTTTGTTTAATATAGCATCCTATTTTAATTTTTAGAATTGTACAACTGTGGATTTACATTTCCTGAAGCATCTGATTTGTCACTTGACGATATATCAAAGGAAACAGTCAAGCAAGTATTTTTATCGAGTCCACAAAACTTCCAAGTTGTGGTATTCCCGTGTCCAAGATCAAGTAAACAACCTTCTCCAAAGATGTGCAAGGTCCAATAATCCCTTGAATTTTAATGTCCTTTGAACAGTTGATCTCAAGTTCCCCACTGAAATTAGTGAATATTTTCAAAAGAGGAAAAATGCATGATATATTAATAATTAAAAGGGTTAAATGCAAGTAATATACATGTACTTCCATTGATTTATTTGTTATAGCATTCTACTTTGTTTTTTCCTATTACAAGTTTCAAAGTACTATGTCCTAATAAGAAAACAAACTGAAAGTACAATGCTATAAGCCTATAATTGGGTAGTTTTTCAATGTATAATGTGTTAATAAGAAAGAAATGAAAGTAGGAGGCTACATAAACATATAATTCAGATTGTGAAGAATGAAAATATTCACTTATGAGAGAGACCAAGAGATTCTTCACCCTTCTCAAAGACACGACTAAATGAATCCTTGAAAACCGAATGTGCAAAACTTTCAGATAAGACAACAAGCCCACCAGTTCTTTCCATAACAATTTTCAACTCTGCTACTCCAACCTATTAGCAAAAAATAGCATCACATTTCAAACAAAATTGAGATACAGGTTCTAATATGCAGATTATTAAACTCATACTTTGAAGAAAACGTAATCACCACAATACAAACAGATACATACATTATACATATATGATATATGTAAACACAATCAGATAAAGAGTTTTATACGTGGTCAAGTGCAGAAGCAAAAAGATCCAATACATGACCTTGGCTGACCATTTCCTTTGAAAGTTCCTCATAAAATTGAACTACTTTTCTAAAATATGGTGCTGCATCTTTATCAAGATCTTTATGTGAACACACAGGATCAGAGAGATCTTTTGATACAATCTATAAGAAACCAAAAACTAATACACATTTAGATTCAATCTAAACAGAAATAATCTTTTTCATAACTCTAAAAAAAATGGAAAGATAGTTCGTCTGTTAAAAGAAAAGTTTATAGAAGAAATTACCAAACCAGAAATAATCTTTTTCACAACTCAAATTCTCCAGTAGGATACGCATCATCGCCTCCTAAACTGCCATTATTATCCAATTCAGACTTGATCTCGATTTTATCCTCCTAATTCTGTGAGGAAACATCTTCACTTTTGGTGTCAAATGATGAATTGATAGCTCGAATGGAGATGCTCCAATGAGGTTTCAGATGATAGCGAGTTGAAGTGACACGTGGAAGGGAGAACTGAGAAGAAGAAAGGAAACGCGGCAACCGGGATTTGGTGAGGATAACACCAGAAATGTGGACGATGGTGGTGAGAAGCCTAGACACCAGGTGACGTTCTCAGAGACGGAAACAAAGGCCGAGAGAATCAGATAGAAGAAAGTGGGGAGGCGACGGAGGAAGCACGGATTGGAAATCCACCACGACGTCAAATTTATTCCTAAAACTCGCTCATATGCTCTTCGATTACAAATTTACAATATCGACCACGACCTTTACTAGGATCGAGATTTGAGTCTCGTATCCTTCGAAAATATCTATACTAATTTTTTGGAAAATAAGGGACTCCACCGGCTGGGTGTCGCTGGAAAGCGTCGGAGAGGAGGGACTCCATCGGCTGGGTGTCGCTGGAAAGCGCTGGACGGTGGGGCGGGGCTGGACGGACGTCAGAGGTGGTAGGCGTCGGCACCAAGAGAAACGTCGGATGTGGGAGAAGCTGTCGACGTCGAGAACTGAGAATAAGAGAAAGGGTTTGTTGAAGTGAGAAGGAGAGAAAGGGAAATTGAAGAGAGAACGTGTAGTAGAGGAAGGCGGCCGGGGCAAGTTCTTGACAAAAAGCCCTAGCTATTACAAAGAGGGAAACTAAAGTGGAGGAGAAAAAAAAAGGAAGGCGGGGTTTTTAAGTTTTTGGGATTTCCTTTTCCCTCCGGATGGAACGCGCGTTCTATAAAAATTTATAAAACGACATCCTTAGACGACACACATTTTATTATAGGTGCCCTCCGTCTTTTTATTATTTTTTCTTTAGACACTAATTTTAGGGCACGCAAAAATGCGTGTCCTAAATCCTTTAAATTTTGGGAGAGATGACATTATTTTTTGGAGACACACATTTGCGTATCGTAAATTTTGGGAGAGATGACATTATTTTATGTGAAAAATATTCATTTGGCGTAGATTCAATAATTGTTCTCATGTATTTAATCACATGTGATTATATCTATTTAATATAATTAAGGAGGACAAATAACAACTACTGAATCTAGAACGTGTAAATGAATCTTGTTCATATAAATCATATATGATTAATTATATATAATTATCACATATCATTAAATACACGAGAACAACTAGTAAATTGAGAATACACAATAATAACAATTTTTTAAGAGCTACTTTAGCTCTTGCTCAAAAAGATATTAAGAGAGGTTTAGCTTATTCCACAATGTCTCAATTCACTAGTTGTTCTCATGTATTTAATCACATATGATTTATTTGAAAAATATTCATTTGGCGTAAATTCAATAATTGTTCTCATGTATTTAATCTCATTTGATTATATCTATTTAATATGATTAATGAGGACAAAGAACAACTACTGAATTTAGAACGTGTAAATGAATCTTGTTCATATAAATCATATATGATTAATTATATATAATCACAAACGATTAAATACACGAGAACAACTAGTGAATTGAGAATGAGAAAGTAAATTTTGTCCATATAATTCATATGTGTTTATATACATATAATCACTTGTAGTAAAATAATATACGATTAAATACATATAATCATTTATGATTAAATACACGAGACTAACTATTGATTCATTTACACGTTCCCCACCACTACTACCCATCAACATTAACACCACCATCCATCACCACCGACCACCACCACTCGCCACCACCACTCCCACCGACCACCCACCACCATTACCACCTCGACCCCACCCACCATCCAAGACCAACCATCTCCACCACCACCACACACCACCACCCACCATGCACGACCACAAAATCATCATCACTAAAAATTTGATTCTTATAACAAAAAAACACTCCCAAAAGTTTTAAGAACAAAATTAGAGACGAGAAAAAGTGTTTGTTACAAAAAAAAGAATCTAGGCAAAGAAATTGTCGGTTTAATATTTAAAGATTGTTCTTTTTAAGATTTTCTAAATTACCATCAACAAAAGAAACCAAAAATGGAGCATGGTATTGTATTTCACATTACCTGGGCGCCCTAATAATGTAGCCAATCTTAGACACACTATTGTATTACATTGTTTCAAGCTGCTTCTAAGCCATCCATTGCTGCTAAGGGTTTTTAAATTTTGTTTTTGGGTGATGAATCTTGATGGTGTTTGTGATAGTGGTTCAGAAATTAATTTTGTTGTCTTTTTGATCATATTCAACTCTTTAAGATTCTAAGATTCAATATAAAATACAACAAAAATATGAGTGATTTTACAAGACAATCCTTCACTAGAGAATGGTAAGTTTACCTGACCAGTAGCATCTATTGCTGAAGATGCAATAGGTATCGTCCCTGAATAAATATAAAGTTCATTAAGTTAGGGGAAAAATTATCATAAAAGGTAAAAAAAGAAAGTTGGAAAGATATAAATTTAAACATCAAAGAAATCTGATACAATTAGGTGCATGTCTATAATAACGAGGTGGAAGGATACACAATAAACCGATATATAATTTACATTTAATCACCTGGGAATAGTTCTTCCATCAAGAGAATCCTTTGCAGAAGTAGCAGCTTCTGAATATGTAAATTGCACAGGGCCTGGAAAGAAAATATATCGGTTAACTAGTGTCATTAGACTTCCAGCTGAACTAAAGTTTCTGAATCTGTAAAATTCATATATAGCAACTGGTTCAAGCATATCATCGAACACATTGTGAACAACTAAAGTTTCTTCACCAAACCTCGATTTGGGCTTAGATTTTCATCTCCATAAAATGAAAAAAAGTCAAAATAGAGTATTGCAATCAACAGATCATTAATCGATATAAAAGGATGAAGAGAGAAGACAACATGACAAAGTAGAAAATAAACTTGCGATGATGATGACAGCGTCTTCGTGATGAAAGAGATGCAACAGTAACAAAGGCGATGGAGTAGATGGAGAAGATTCTAAGGTTTTTTCCTTTCCCTATGGTCATTCCATTGATTCTTAGGGTTTTTCGTCAACGGTGCTGGTGGTTTTACTGCTCAACAGAAATTGGTGGTGGTGGTGAAGGAAGAGTAAGGGCAATGTGGAGAGATGTACTGAACGACTAGATCGGGATAAGTGGAGAGGAAAAGATTGTGTGATTCTGGTGACTCTGACGGTCATCTGGCGACTTTGGTGGTGGTCCGGTGACTCCGACGGTGATCTCGTGGTCTCAGCCACCACTCAAACTTTAAATGAGGTTGAGAGACATCGGAAGTGATTTTCAATTATATTTTTATTTATCATTTTAAATGAAAAAAATTCAAATGGTCTTTGATTTGTTTTCAAATGTTCTTCGATGTTCTCATTTGAATATATATATATATATATATATATATATATATATATATATATATATATATATATATATATATATATATATATATATATATATATATATATATAAAAGATAAAAAAAATCATCGCCCCTATTCAACCTAACCCCCACCCTCCTTTATAAAATGGTATCTCTCTTATCTTCCTTCTCAATCAAGAATCCTAAATTAAATGGGTATTTGAGATCGCTTTTTAAAACATTTTATTGATGGTTTTTCAAAAAATCAATAGGTTTAAAAAAATGTTTCACTATTGCATATATTTTTCAAAATAATTTTTTGACATGTTTTAAAATGGAGGTTTCCAAAAGCTGAATTTTAAAACTAAAATTACAATAGTACCTTAATGAACCTTCTCACTCTTTTTTTCTTCCTTACTCTCTTTTCATGCCCGTTTTAGTCATTTTACAGTTAAAACAGTTTTTGTCACTACAAAAGCTAATCCAAATAGTATTTTGCCACATAATAAGTAGATATGCAATTTTGTCTAAAAGAATTTTTGGAGTTCAAAAAAAAAATCCTACACACCCCCTAAAAAAAGCCTTCGAAAACCATTGATCCTCATCGAAAAACATACAACCCCAAATTCATACCAAATTTTATGATTATAACTCCCCTCTTATTTTCTTGTCGTACACATTTAGACGAACAGAGACTAATATATCCCCATTTTCTTTCCCATCTACCCTCAGTATCGCCCCAGTCTGCCTCTAACTCTGCAACCCTTATACCTTTTCGTTATCAAAAATTAGATCATGTAACATCTGTTTTCCAGAATGAATAAGCTAAATACTTAAATGGGTCAAAGTTATGGTTTTGGGGGAAAACCACATGCCACGGCGTGGTGCGTTTGACCACGGCGTGGCATGACAAGTTAATAAAAACGCGTCTGGCTCGTTTGCCACGGCGTGACAAAGTGTTGGCTACGAAATGGCAATTGTTGCAGCCCAAGCCCATGAAGATTATGGTTTCTTCCATATTTAAGGACTCTAACTCCATGTTTAGGGTATTCTTTTCAGCCTCCATTTTCCCTTGTGATAAACCTTATCTCCCTTTTCTCTTTCCCTCTCCTCCTTGTTATATTTTGTGAAAGTGTACCATTTTGGGTGCTTGAAGGAAGGTCGTCATCTCTTGAAGCTTAAGTGTGTATCTACAGAAGAGATATAGCATATTGTGCATCATTTGGACCTCTCCGATTCGTGGGATTGAGCAATGCAAGGTGTAAGAATGTTGTTTTGCTTCTCCTGTTCTTCAGTTTAGTTAACTTTCTCACTATGCCGCGTATCCCATTATATATCATTTGCATGGTAGGATAGTGGTATTATTATAATACAAGTATGCTATTTGACTAGGATAACTCCTTGTTATGCATATACAGTGTAGGACACTTGCTGTCATGGTATGTTAGACTGGTAGGGTCTTTTCTGTTGACTGTATGATACTGTTAGGAGTTTGTGAATGCTAAACTGAGTGTGCGGACAAGGTTTGAAAACTCAAACCTTAAATTAACTTAAGATCAATGTCTGCTAATAATGAGGATCCAGTTAAGTCTGGTAAACCATTCTTGTCTCAGAATTAAGAGAATCAACAAAGTGCACAAAAGTATAAAAAAATTAAGTATGAACATGTAAAGCTATTCAAGAACAATAAGAATGTTAGAGAGAATGATTGACTGAATAATTCTTGATTGATGTGAAAAAGGCGTATATTCCACTTACTTACTACAAAGGTGACTACTCCTTAAATAGCCAAGGAGTAACAAAAAGATAAACTGAAAAAAGTAAGCGTGGACTATCAGACATCTAAAGATCAATAGGCTGACATAGCCGCTTATGTTGATCTTGTATCATGTACTACACTATCAAACAATAAGAATAAAACAAAATAGTACCTGGAAAAATAAATTCTCATTACAGACTTGGAAACATTCTATCACTAAGATGCATTTCAGACTCATCTTCCACTTCGGAAAAGCCTGCATTTCGGAACTCATCATCTTGGACTTTCCGCCACTTCGGATTGCATAAGGATCACTTTTCATGTTCTATCAGAGTTATGTTTGTATAGGGTAACTGGGGAAGGCCAGTTATAAGGATTATGTATGACTGACCATCGAAGGACTTAATCGAGAAGTGGTCAATGGCAGGGTAACTAAGGAAGACTTGTTGCCAGGTATATGTAGCATTCTAGTGTAGGTTATGTGTTTATGTTACATGATTATGTGGTAATGTTAGCATTGTTTATATGTAGTCTATGTTGGATAACGTAAGAACTCTTGGTCTAATGCCTTATTGCGGTGTTCTTGTCTGATTGTTCGCTCTCAGGTGGATCATCTATTCGACTATCTATCTGATCTCCAACTTTTCATGACTTTATATTGGCATGAAAGACCAAGATTTTACCCCTAACACCTATATGTAAGACCATGATGTGGCCCCTAGCGTTGCATGGAAAGACCATGGGAGCACCATGACATTTGTATGAAAGAATTGGATTTGGCCCCTGACACCTGTATATAAGACCAAGATGTGGCCCCTGGTATTACAGGGAAATACCATGAGAGGACCATGGAAACCATACGGGAGACTATGGGAGGACCATAGTATTCACACGTTCTTTACTGATATGTTTGTTGATAGGTCAGTGCTAGAGCCGAGGAATTTATGTGGATGCATTATATGTATGATGGAATATGTGGTATATTAGGGAAATCACCAAGCTTTATGTTTCTAGTTGTAGATTAAACATGTTGCAGGTCGTTCATGGAAAGAGCTCGACGGGACCGTATACACACCTCGGAAAACATTAGTTTATGCGGTTTTGTAAACTTAACTTTGATAATGTATGGTTTCAATCAATCAATTGTTATTCAATGGTTTTTGAAACAAAGTTTTAATTGGTTAATCTATATGAAAATGAAAAAAAATTCTTTGTATTAATTGGGACGTTAAAAGTTGGTATTAGAGCCTTGGTGTGAGGGCTTCGGGTGCGCCTTGTGGTGTATCTGAACTCAAACTGAGGATTGAGAGATTTTCTAAATAAGTTTTTTTAAAGAGAATTCTTTTATTCAAAAAAAAAGTTTCTAAAAAGATTGTAGAACAATTGGAGGATTTAATGTGTACAGTCGAACGAAGCTCAGGAAGTAAGTAATTCCCAATATACCCATATGATCTTGTATTTGTGCTATGGATTGTTATGCATGCTAGAATATAGGATGTAGATCCGCTGAGGAATTAAATGGTAGAATTTCCTGACATCTCTAATGCCTTATAGCCTAAAGAATTGTTTGTTATGTTTTACTTGAAGTCTAGATTGATAATGTTAATTGTTAGGTGTATGTTTTCGAGTTTTACATGATTAGGATTGTATAGCCTTAGAATGATTGATTTAGCCTTATTTTCTGTTCCTTGTTTGGTTGTGGGATTAGGGTAGAATCACTTATTCTACAGTGTATCTGATCATGTATTGTGGAGTGTTGCGAGGTGAATTGGGAGTCTCAGAATTATCGTTGGAACAAGTATGGATAGGTGTGGAATATAGTATTGGGCCCGTACTACTAAAAGTACAAGATCCATACTTGGGTCAGGGGTATTACATGAATACTAAGGAATTTCTAGGTGGGTATGCGTAGTGTGGTTAGGACTGTGCATTGATTTTAATGTGTTTCGATTATCTTTCAGATTCATGATGGTGACCTTCCGTGCTGGGGATTCAAGCATGAGTGAGAGGGATGTCTGCGACATCATAGCTGCAAAGATTTCGAGTTTCATGAGAGAGGATTTACCTAGTTTGAGTAGCTCGGTCAGGGATGAGTTGATTTCAGTGACGGATGAGCCCCTTAGGGTTCTTCAAGCTGATTTGGAGGCTGGTCAACTCATGAATTAGGAGGTTTCCTTCAGGGAGTTTGATGCTTATGGAACTCCTTGTTTCTTTGGGGTAAAGGAACCTATCATCAGTATGCGTTGGATTGTTTGCATAGTGAGTGCCTTTCGCGCCGACTTCTGTTCGACGGAGGCCAATGTCAAATCTGTGACATGTATTTTGCATGACAAAGCTAGGTATTGGTGGTGTGAGGTTGTTCAGCGCCTCGTACCTAATATGACTGAGTCTATTTCATGAGAGGGTTTTGTCACCGACAATTTGAAGAGTTTTAGTATACTACAACATCCTATGGTGCACATACAACCCTAAATACCTTGGATCTATGTTTTCACTAATTATACATGCAAATGGTTTCCAAGGCATTAAACCTATAACTAGCATGCAAATTGTCATAAACAATACAAGATACTAGTTAGAGTAACATACCTTTTATGTGGCTTGAAGTCTTGATGTATTTGGTGTTGCTTGAAAGACTTTGGCTTTTAAGAACTCAGTGCCCCAAGTGTTGCACCTCAAATGGATTCACAACTCACCTAGGACAAAGGTGACTCTTGAGAGAGAATTCCATGCACCAAAAACACCTGCATATTTCTCTAAGAAAAGAAGTACTTTCAAGTGGCGATTTTGGGCAATGGAATATGTATTTATATGTGGCATTTCAAGGGTCATGGGTATAACCCAAATCCATACCCATGAGTATTATGATCCATGGTTCATGTGGCCCAACTCTTTATGTATCCATACATAAACTTGGTCCAACATGGATCATAAGCCCAACACATATAAATATAACTAATTACCATAAGTAGTCCCCATAGATTTAATTAGTCTCTTTTGATCACTAAATTAGTTCCAAATTAATTCTTGATCAATACTAATTAGAACATATGATTTTATATTAATATATTAGAACTTATAATATATTAATAAATCATATATAACCTTCTCTCAAGAGTCCATCCTAACAAATTGTCCTGGTGTTATGCAACCCAAATGGACCATGCTACTCTCGGGTCGAATACATACCAATAATAGTTATGGGCTTAGACATCTAATCCAACAGTATCCCACTT